GAAATCTTTAGCAAAAGGGGGGGTTTCTACTGTAAATATGTTATGATGATTCTTTAGGTATTAGCATAAAACCACAAGTCAAGCCTCCCCTTCCCCTCCGATGCCTCTTGGTAAGAAACCGAGGTGATCGCTAATCATTACCCTGTGTGCACATATCCACAACGCCCCTTAACCCTTTTCCCAACTAAAGATGTGATTGACTATCAAACGAGGATGCTGCCGTCCATTAACAGACAGCTCATTGCATTTGCCTTTGCCAATCCAGCTGACGAAGCTTGCGGCCATCTATCTCGTGTACTGGCGTGCCTATATTGTGCACATGTGTATTGGGTTCCGCATGCATTGCGCCCGTGTTGCTCCAAGAATAATTCTCAGAGGCTTGTGTTCAGATCCATCAACATCCACCTTCAACCGTCGAGATCGTGATGCTTATCCTCACTATATCAACAGCACTCAGCGCAGCATTCGCAGCAGTCAGCGCAGCATTCGCAGCATTCGGCGCCCACGAAGCAGCAACAGAGAGCCGCCATGCACCCTTTGAAGCATCCGTCCCCACCACCGCTCTGCTGAGGAGGAGGCTGCTGTTGGTATTGCATCTGACCTTGCGGAGGGTAATACCCTTGTGGGGGAGGCTGACCATAAGACTGCAACCGATCACCGAGTTAGTTTTTGCGGTTTGAGGTAGCGGGCTTGTGTGGTCGGTGAGGAACGCCGCCGGGAACTCCAAACTCACCTGCTGAGGGTATTGGGGATATCCTTCCTGATGAGGCGGCGGTCCATATCCTTGAGGAGGGGGGCCTTGTTGGTAGTATTGCTGAGCCGACATGTTTGTTGATGCGTGGGCTGATGGTAGACACTTCGAGCACGTAGAAGTAGGTAGGTCTCACGGTTTTCCTGGTAGGTGTATAGTGTATATAGTCTATTTGTCGGGTGGCCAGGGACGGACACAGAGACGGCACTTGTCAAAAACGACGGGCAGGCGAACGGAGAATGAATATGAGGCGGTAAGACGGCGTTTGACTACGAGAGCGACAAGAGGAATAAATACTCGGGAACTGGGGCGGATGGGATGATCATGGCTGGCAGCAAGGAGAGACGCAAGTGCACGGTACTTAACCACTCACTGCATGGAGTATGGATCCGTCAAGGTACCTAGGTAGCCGCTTTACGTTCCAATCCGCGGACAACTCCCAAACCCCCCCCCTGACAACTCTGACACCTAGGTCAACCTGACACTGAACTACAGCGACTGGGAATGGGAGCCCTGAGCTTGCTTGGGCTGAGTCAGTCGGCGTGACAGCGATCCAAGCCCGCCAAGAGCATCCAAGCCAGAGTTAGTGGGCTAGTGGGTACCTCTACCTAGCGAAGCGCCCTAATGTGCAGGAGGGGATGTACAACAAGAATAGGGCGGTGCGGAAATAACGTGCCGATCTAATCAGACACCTATAGTAATGGTTAAAAAATACGTACTGCGGTTGCGAGCCAAAGTTTTACCTCCCTGTCAGGTATCTTCCACTGACTACCAAAGCCAAAGCTTCGTAGGCACTGTGTGTCCAATGACCTGATCCACGGGTTTAACTTACTCATCTCACTATGGTAGTGTCTTCCACACCCCTATATATCTACATCAACTACCTGCCTATTCAATCTCCTTATTTTCAACCTCTTATAACTTTGTTAATTTCTGGCCAAAATACAAAGTTTTAGTAATATTCTAATTAGAAATTCGTACAGTTCAAAATAATTTTAGAAAAAGAAAGTCAAAGAAAAAAGGTATGCTAGAATTTACTTAGAATCAAAGAGTCTCAAAAAAGATTAAATTTAATAAAATACTAAGACTGTAACCAAAAACATAAATGGTGTTCCAAGCTACTAATATTTTATGAAATTCTTTTAAAAGAACCATAAATAAAGATTATATAAGTTTAAGTATTATGCAAAGATAGGCTTCACAAGTAATAACAACAAAGAATAATAAAGTAAGCAACTAGTTGCTAGATAGAGCAATAATACGTAACGATTAACGATAGTCTTATTAAAGGAAGCTAAAGATAAGAATTATCGCAAGCCTCAACCTAGGACCTCGCACACAACTTTACTAAGTATAAGCAAAATAGATATAAAATTAATATAATATTAATTAATAATCCATCAACTTTAATAGAAGTTAACGGGACGAACACTCTTATATAATAAACTATATACTCTAATAAGCGGCTATTATAATAAAATAGAATATCTAAATATCTACTAAGAATACCGTATAACATCTCCCCCTCAATAAAAGGAGAAGAGTGCTCACTATCTATATAAAGTTATTAAATTTAATTATATATATAAAAAATCCTGTTATCTATTAGAGCCTTCATCTATTAACTTATACCTAAATTAGCTACTAAATATATAAAATATACAACTATCCGAATAGAATATATAATTCAATAACCTAATACCGATCCTTCAATAACTATATTCATAATAAGGCTAGCGATCGTTAAAATCCTCCTCCTCCATCTCCTTATTCTCGTCTATACGCTACATATCTTAACGGGAACGCTTACATCCCAATAACGAATCTTCTCGCTCCTAATCGGTAGGGAAATAACTACAGCGAAGAGAGCAGGTAGTAAATAAAGAATTGAAGTAAGAGCCCGAACGAACCAATATCGAATAGAATTTATTAAACAAACCGGTCCAGCCGGGTATATAATAAAGCGAAAGGTTACCGGAACGAATATTATAAAGAGTAGTAATACTAAGAATAAAGTTAAATATATAAAGTCTACTAATAAATAAAATTATAGAGTAACATTTAATGCGAAACTCCTATATTTCTCCAAATTTAGTACAAAGGGTCGTTAATTCTATTTATAACTTCTATACAATTTAATCCTAATATTTATTAGAAACTACTAGTACTATAAACTACTTTTAAAAAGCATTTATTAATATACCTTCAATTTCTTTATAGGAAATAAAATTAATAAGTATAATAAATTCTTTATTAACTTCAACAATATAGTTAATTAACTTCTTAACCTTAGGAAGTTTATTCAATGCCAATTTAACCAACGCTCCCTAAATATAATAAAAGTAACTAAATTTATTTAATAGACCGCCAATCTACTTAGGAAGGCTAATACTATAATTAGAATACTAAATAGCTAATAAAATTACTTTCGAGAGCATATAGTCCGTAAAATTATTATCTCCTTTACGTTTCTTATTAAAAGCTAAATTAAAAACTACTTTAATATTACAAATAAATTTATACTACGAAAAAGAGTAATTACTAATAAACTAATACTTATACTCTTCTTTATTCTCTATATACGCTTTAATAACTTTTTCAATTTCAATACGCAACTCCTAATCGATTTCAATACCAAAATTAACGTAATTTTAATTATAGTTAGCGAAGGCACTAATAAAGGTCGGGTATACTTTTCCTTTATTACTACTCTTACTAATAATAACCGAATATAATTATACAATTCGGGTCGGGGCTTTATATACCTTTCTTAAAGTTACTTTAATAATCGGAATTTTAATATAAATTAAAGTAGGAATAGCCCTAATTACTAATTATAAGGCTTTATAAATTTTATTAATTAACTAAGCAACCTCTCGGTATTTTTAAATATTAGTAAAATCAATATTGCTACTTCTAATAATACGACCGTTAGGATATATATTATAGAGAATAGCCGGAATATAATCTATAAAACGTTAATTAGTAATAATTAATTTCTCTATATATCCTCTTCTAAATATTGTATTACTAAACTTAATAGTAATAGTAAGAATTAAATTATAAATTCCTCTAAAGTACGTCGCCTAAATTTCAATATTATAAAATTTAATAAAAACGTTAAAGTCCTATTCCTACTAGGATCTATTATAATTACTAAAAATTAAATCCTCCGGAAATATAATCGATAAAAGGGCGTTTATAATATAGGTAAAATTACTATTAATAATATATAAAATTACTAAATTTATATTAATTAATTCGCCCGTATAATTAATAGTACTATAAAATATAAAGTATAATTTATTATTATATAATATAAAGAGATAATTAATAATTATAATTAGTACTAAACGTCTACTATTATTTACCTTCTTAATATTATAAATAAGGACGCTTTAGGTAGTTTAGAAAGATTTATTAGGAAGATGGTTAAATAGATTATAAATATAATGATGTTAACTGAAATTATTAATCGTATTAATAATTTACTTATACCGGACGTAGTTAAAAAACTACCTAAATTAAACTAGGTCTATCTATTCGATAAAGTTAATTATAAAGTTAGAAAATACAACGTATATACTATTAATTCCTAAATTAATAATCTTATTAAGAAGATTATTAATAATATAATAGCTAAAATATTTAGCTATATTAATTAATATATTAAACCGGGGATTGTACTCGAGCGATTACGGGGTGAACTACCGGTCTATAATAAAATTATATAAATTACTATTATAATTAAAACTATTAATCTAATTATTAAAAATTATAATTATATTGTTAATAAACGGCGGGGATTCTATATTAACGTCGGCTATCTTATTGTACTAAAATTGTAATTTAGCGAATATAAGATAAAGAAACTTAATAAATAACAATTAGTCTAATAAAATTACTATATAAAGGAAGCTATAGTAGAATTGAATATTATAAAGATTAGGTAGAATATAATAAGGTTACTAGAGTAAGAAGGAGAGTATAAAAGTAGCTAAATAATTTTAATTCTTTTAAAAGTTATATACGTACGTACTAAGACTCTTCCTTTATTAGTACTTACCTACCGGGGCCGTTTACTATATATAACCGTAAATACCGCTGCCTTTATATAACTATACGTACTTACTTAATTGAAATAGAAAAAGTTTTAATCGAAATTATAAATAGTGTACAATATATTATCCTATATACTATTAGTAATAGGCTTATTTCCGCTTAGACGTATTACTAAACAAAATTCTAAAAATCTTAATAGAAAATATAGAAAATATAACTACTTATAAAAATATATAACGAGGAAATAATAGAAAAATTAAAATAAAGGAAAAAATTCTCAAATTATTATAATTTCTAATAACCTCCCCCTCTTTTAGCGAAAAGGTTGTTACTCCCTCTATCAATTCCAACGACGTATCCGATAAAATATACCTCCAACGTACTAAATTACCCTCCTACGATTACCTTAGAACGGTAATTCTAATAAATATTTTATATTGAATTCTTCTACTATTTCCTTCGAATTTCTTATAAATTTACTATATAACTCCTATATATTATTTTTATTTTAGTATCTAATCTATTTAATTAAATATTATATATTTAACGGACTTTAACTTCTAGTAACGAAATTTTCAATTTCCTATTCTTCCTACCCGTCTACTTTAATTAATAATAGTAGCAGAATTTTGTAATTAAACGGATTAGGGCTTTATATTAACTTATAAAAATATACTACGGATATAATAGGATAGGTACGCTAAGTACTAAGTAAATTAAATTTATAAGCTAATAAACTAATTTTCTTAAGGATTTAGTAGGGACCTATTTACTCTACTAACTATTTCTTCTTTAGGCTTCTAAATAAATAATAACCTTTCCTAAAATGTAAATAAACTTTATTACTTACCTCGAAGGTTATTAGAAAATACTTAGAATTATATCGCTCTTTAATAACTATCCTAGCCCAATTAATAAATTCTATAGCTTTAAATTAGTATTCTTAACGGATAAGAGCTAAGGATTCCGTAGTAGTAGCTTTCTAATTATCCGGTATAAGTAGATTGAAGGCAGCCTATAGCTTAAAATTATATACCAATTTTATTTAGTAATAACTTAATTATAAATTAAATAGTATTATTCAAATTATACTATAATACTACTAATATTAATATTTAAGGAATAATATTTATTATATACTATATACAAATTACTATTTTAATAGTCTAATTAATTTTCTCCGACTATCTATTAATTTAAGTATAGTATACTGTTAAAAATAGTAGATTAATAGCCAATACTTCGAAAA